GGCTCAGACAATTTGAGATCATTGTGTTAGCATATCTCCAATATTCAGTCTGTGACGTTTGTGCCAGTGCAAAATGATTGCTATCTGAGCTTCTGCACCAAGACAGCTATGTAAGCTGGGTAACTCAGATTCTTATCTTTGTTATGTGCCTTAAACTACATAAAGGAGGTTCTCGGTCTTTGAACTCTATGTAAAACAGGTTTGATTTATCAGTTTTAATATGAAGCCTGCAAAATGCCAACTTGCTTGGTAACTTTTTTCCAATCAACTTCCTTTTTTTTGGAAGATAGGAAAAGTGTAAATGATGACAACACAAAAGCTGAAATTCTGGAAAGTTGATCAGCATGAAATAAAACTGGTTGTGAGGTTAGTAGGATGTATATTGGATGAAGGATGTGCAATTGATAAATCTAAACTTTGTTTTAATCTGAATTGTTTACTTTATCTGCTATGTATCATTTTCTGGATTTTCTGATGGCCAGATAATCATTTCTGAAGTGTAGATCTGTGTTTCGCGTGGGAAACCTGCGGAGTCCTCATCGTAACAGATTCTGAAGAAATTGTCTGGGACGTTGAAGATTCTGCTGGGCAATTCCCTTGTGCCTGGAACTCTTTGAAAATATCCAGTTGTTTTGGAAGGTTCTGCTGTAGTTAATCATTACTGAGGAAAAGTTAGATTATAAAGTATCTGGTCTAACTTCTGAATATTTGTTCATCAAACCCCCAACTCACTTCTCCTCAAACTCAACTACACCATATCCCCCAGACATCTCCCCCCGGACCCTGATCCAGCACATCCCTTATTTCCCCCCTCCTTCCCCTGCCAAAACCCAACACCCACTTACGCACTTCTGGACCTGACATTGTGCTAACATCAGTCTGCATTGTCTTTCCCTCCCATGTCTGTTATGAGCCCATTACGTTCACCTCCCCCCTCACCCTGACCCCACGCTGTGGAAACAACCCCTCTTCCCCTGTCCAGACTTTCCCATTCCATCTCTCCGGATGTGCTTTGTTTCAGTTCTTGGGTCCACTGCCAAACCTGAGCCCCAATACTTCCCCACTCCACCCCCCAAGTCCAGACCAACATTCCCTGCCCTCTAAATCTGATTCCTCTCTTGCCACCACCATACCTGATTTCCCAACATGAGCCACTTGAGTTTTTTTTTGTGTCCTAAATGTTTTAGAGACTGCTAAATTGCACTGCTGAAGCAGTAGCAGGTCATCTTTATCTCTGAAAGAAACCTGCATGTGCCTTAACCTTAAGACCGATTCTGTCTTTCTCATTACTTGTTTCTGTCTCTGTCTCCCAGTGTCATTGACCAACATCATGATTCCTTTTAACCTTTTTTTCTACCTTAGTTTCCGAAAACATTGGTTCAATCACCTTAAGGGCTTTTAAAAGTCCTATTCAAGCGCATGTAAACAACATCCCAGACAACTGTCTTCCTTTCTTAACACGTAATATAGAGCTACATATCAAATGTAAAGTTATACATGGCTCTGTTGACTTTAGAACCTAAGTTTCCAAAGTAGAATACGTTTTCACAAGCCTTTGTCATGTGAAACAAGAAAAATCAGATTCTGCATTAGATTCTCATGTGTGTGTTTCTATAACAATTGACTTAAATTGTATTTTACCACTGCCACTGGACTTACTGTAGGTGTAGACACAGGTAAATGAGCTATGCAAATGTACCAAGTTAACGATGTGTACACTGTCAGCATGGAGATTAGCAGGAGGAGTTATGTGAAGAATTTGAACTGTTAACACAAATGTTTAGCTGTGTATATTTGCACATAAGAGAGAGCTAGAATCTGGGAAGAGGTCTGGTTCTGCCATGTTTCCACTACGGCACTGCTTGGCTTGAGAATCCCTAAGATTAAGAAGATTTTAAGAGTAAATTTTGAGAGAATTGCAAAATCTTGAAGGGTCTGAAAGGAATAGATCAGGAGAAACTGTTCCTGTTGGCAGAAGGATGGAGAACCAGAAGAGGCCAATTCAAAATGATTGTTCCTTTGCCATTGATAGCATAAGGGAAAACTTTGTACACAGTGAGTGGTTAGGATGCAGTGGGGCAAATAGATTAACTTGAAGCCTTGAAAAGAGAATTGGCTAAGTTATAGAGTCATAGAGTGCACAGCATGGAAACAGACCATTCAGTCCAACTTGTTCATGCTGACTAAATTTCACAAACTAAACCTAGTCCCACTTGCCTGTATTTGATCCATATCCCTTTAAACTTTTCCTATTCATGTACCTGTCCAAATATCTTTTAAATGTTGTAGCTGTACCTGCATCTACAACTTGCCTGGCAGTTCATTCTACATATGAACCACTCTCTGTGTGGAAAAAGTTGCCCCTCAGTTCCCTTTTAAGCCTTTCTCCTCTCACCTTAAAAATATGCCCCCTAGTTTTGAAATCCTCCACCGTCAGAAAACAAAACCTTTGCTATTCCCCTTATGATTTGATAAATCTCTATAAAGTCACCCCTGAACGTCACATGGGGGATGGGGGCATGGTTGGGTGGGGGGTGGTGAATGGATTGGGGGGGGGGGGGGGCAAAATCCAGCTTCTCCTTTATGACTTGACTCGTACGCAGTCCCAGAAACATCCTGGTAAATCTTTTCTGAACCCCCTCCAATTTAATAATGTCTTTCTTATAGCAGAGAAACCAGAACTGTACACAGTACTCTAATAGTGACCTCACTAACGTCCTGTACAATCTCGACATGGTGTCACAACTTCTGTACTCAATGGTCTAAGCAATGAAGGCAAGTATGCTAAATGCCTTCTTAACCACCCTGTCTACCTGTGACACAACTTTCAAAGAACTCTGTACCTGAACCCCTAGATCTCTCTGTTTGACAACACTACCCAGGACCCCTTCCATTAACTGTATAAGTCCTGCCCTTGTTTTACCAAAATGCAATACCTTGCATTTATCCAAATTAAATTCCATCTGCCACTCCTTAGCCCATTAGCCCAATTGATCAAGATCCCTTTGTAATCTTACATAACCATCTTCACTGTCAACAGTTTCCGAACAGAGAACAGTTGCAGGCCTTTGGGGAAAACCATGGAGGAGTGGGACTACGTGAGTTGCTATATGAGAGAACTGGCTTGGACGTGATCGGCCAAACAGCTTCTTTCTGTGCTGTATAACAATTCTGATTGTGGGGATGAGTCCTGTTCATGCTGCTTGTTAGGGTTATATCACTGCAGTTAGGAACACAGGAAATAAAAGCTGCAGTGGGCCATTGGCCATTCATTGAATCATAGTTGAACTTCTACCTTAATACCATTTTCCTACTTAATCCTCATATCCCTTAATGTCTTTACTGTCTTGAAAGATATTGCTCTGACTTGATTATATATGATGACTAAGCTTCAACAGACCTCTGGGTAAAGAATTCCAAAGATTCAGCAACTGCTCAGTGAAGAAATTCTTCCTCATCGCAGTCTCTACCCTACATTTGAGTCTCCCCTGGTTCTAGATCCCGTTCCACATCTCTGCCATTGCCACCTTGCCTATGTTCTGTTGATCCATGTAAGAATGGTGTATGTTTGAGATGACCACCTCTCAATCTGCTTAACTCCAGAGAACAAAAACACAATCTCTCAATCTCGCGTCATAGGATAATTGCACTATCCCGGGAATCAGTCTGACAAACTTTCATCGCAGTTTTTCTATGGAAAGTACATTCTTCCTTGGGTAAGGAGACAAGCACTGTATACAATACTCCCAGTGTGGTCTCCAAGATTCTATACGCTTGCAATATGACTTCTTTATTCTGTACTAAAATCCTAATGCTTTATTTATCCCAAAAGCAAAGTACATCTGCATCGTTCAGATTTGTTTGTGTTCTATTGATTTGAAGTAGGGTCCATACTGCAAAAGCAAAGTGCTCTGGATGCTGAAAAGCGAAAGCAAAAATAGAAAATACTAGAAATATTCCACATGTCAGGCAGTATTTGTGGAGAGAAAAAGCGTTAATGTTACAAGTGAGTATCGTAATGCTAATTTCCCAAATGATTGAAGTCAGACAAGAGTGTTCAATGAAATATTGGATTTTAAAAGAATAGATATTATTTTCAGCTAGTAGTCACTATTCCACAAATTTTCTTGGTCTCCAGTAGGTCAGATGCACAGGAATTACTGTAAATTACAATGTTGAATTGGCCACTAGGAGTTTCAAGCCCATATGTGCAGTTCTGCAAGAAGGCAGTTCACCATCTCCTTGATTGTAATTACAGATGAATAATAAATATTGGTTTAGCCCACAATGCGCAAACAAATGAAAAGAAGCAACTATCTTACTTGGTCAACCACATTAGATGAACATGTGGCAAAATTGTATATACCTTTATTAAAAAAAAAATGCAAACTTAGTCAAATCAAAGTTTGAAAATCTTCCAGTCTGGAGTGACTAAGCCAACTGACTGTGGTAAAATACATTCATCCCAAAGATATCTTGGACATTGGATTTTGCCACCCTGAAGGAGAGTGCACATCAGGCCTAGGGTTCAGATTGGACAGTGAAAGAAGGCACAGGTTTACAACTGGACTACATGACGTTCTACACTTTTTTAAAATAATCTGTTCAAGTAATAAACTGTTCACAGCTGCTATGTTCTTCTATTGCATAATATGGGAGACTAAGAAGAATGACTTTCCTTGCCATCTTGTACTCCTCTTGAGGGGAAGGACATGAGTTAAAAGCCAAGGCTTTCAGCAAGATAACCTGCTGGGAAACAATGCAGGTCACTACACTAATCTAATTTCTGCTGCAGCCAATATTAGCTTGAGAAGAGGTTTTTAGTTTTAATCACAATTAAGCAATATTTTTAAAATGTTAGGTTGCACTGGTGCTATTAACGTAGAATGCTAAAATAGTGTAGTTAATTCTTAGTAAAATAAATTTCTTAATACTGGTGATACGTGCAAATAATCTTGTTGAATTGTGTCACTGATTAGAACATAACTTCTCTGTTACAGGTTACTCAAACACTCAACTGCACATCACAGGCAATTCTGAGACTAGCTCATCTTTAGAGTTAAGAGGTCACCTTCAGCACCTCAGTTCTATACCATGCATTCAGCAACCAGGAAGAAAGCTAACCAACAAATCAAGAGTCAGGAAAGTCACTACCCAGAAACCTCAAGGTAATTTCTGAATGTGAAACAATGAAATTATGTTAAGTGGGAAAATAACTTTCAATATTGTGGCAAATAATCTGATGCATTAAATCATGGTGAATTTGATTATCCTTTTCCTTTGCAGGATTTTGCATATAAAAAATCCAGTGATTGGAAGCAAAAAAAAATCAAATAAGTGTTTAAGATAAATCTTAAAATCTATTTGATTTCAGAAGTAAAATTAATGCTGCGGATATATATAATTGTTTACCGTTAAATGCAGATGGGGGATAGGTCAATGTACCATTTAGAAATATCAAATCAGCAACGTTGTGAATGCAGTGAAATTTGATTTTGGATGTATTTTGTTGATTAATAATATAGTTTAGTGTGAATTTCCTGCCCATCTTTTCATTGAAATTTTGCTATCATAGCATTTTCTCCCATGTCCTTTAACAAGAGTAGCTGCAAAACGTAGATATCTCAGTACCTTTGTTCAGCTGTAAACACAAACTTAGAAAAGGGTGGCTGCCCAGGTGTTAACCAACTTCCTGTGTGCATTGGTTTCACCAAAACTTTAGCTTCTATTTGCAAATAGACTACTGCCTGTTCCAAATCTGCCCATGTGTCAAGATTCATGGCACTTCTATAATTTGAATTCATAATCTCTCCACCAGTTACACTTTGTTGAAGGAGATTCATCAGTCTCTAATTCTTTTTGAATATGGAACTGGATGTATTCCCCAGGGTCATGCAGCCTGTTGTGGGGTTTCAGAGAATCTATAACTATTCCTACGCGCAAGTCGCTCAATCTTTAAGTGTCAAAGGAGGAGAACTGGGGAGTCATGACCTCGAGGTGCATTTCACCTTAGCCACACCACTTAAACACATCCTTTCACTGCCAGCTGCGTTCTTTGCAACCGGAATATTAAAGGCTGCTGCCCAGATGTAATTGCAGTAGATGCTGGTAGAGGACTGGGATGGGTGGGGGCAATGCCAAGGGAAAGTGTATGTGTGCCACTGATGCTGTTTGTGCTGATAGTTAGATAATGCAGTTGGTGGAGAGGTATAGTGGAATGATGGTGGTGGTTTGCAAGGCTGGAAAGTGTTAGAAGTTAATGATAATCCTCATTTGGGTACTTAAATTGTTGGTTGACATATCATGGAGTTTGTTGCTGCTTGTAATGAGAAGTTCTGGTTGATGGAATTATGGATAGGGTTGATGTGCAATTGGAGAGCATTGAGATTATGCTAAGTGTGGGGGAAGCAAGTCATTTAGCATCTAATATATAGCATTCTTTTGGAATCTGTATTCAGGCCTGTCCAAATATAATCACTTAGCCTTATAGACATCATTGGTTATGTAAGGACAGATCCAAATAGGATCACTTCCACAATCTGAAAATGAAGATATTCTGATTGTCCTCAGTGCTCTCCCACCATCATCTAATGGCTGCCATTGCACTTAGCTCATTCCATTATTATTCATTTAATCATAGTCAGAGAATCCACTGCAATGGCTTCTGTTCCTGCTCTTGCACCATGACTTTTGATGCCCTTTAAGGAGATATCTTTGGCCACCTTCTATTGTTCATCAGCAGCATCACCAAGTGCACGGCACTAATTTTTGCATGTACACTGATGGCTGTACCTCACTTTGGCCTTTCTCTGCTCCTTCACTGTACGTAAACTGTTAGATTACTTAAAAAAAAAAACCAAAAGAACTGCGGATGCTGTAAATCAGGAGCAAAAACAAAGTTGCTGGAGAAGCTCAGCAGGTCTGGCAGCATCTGTGAAGGGAAAATTACTTGTCTGACATGGACACTGGATGAGTAGAATTTTCCTGCAATTCAGTATATTACTGGGAACTGAAAGCTTTGTCTTTCAGTTCCCATTCCTTAGCTACCAACTCAATTCCTCTCCCTAGCACTTGTCTGAGGCTGAGCTAGAGAATTCATAACCGTGGTTTTATATTTCCCCAAGATGGCCTTCCAAGCATATGTCTGTGTCATTACCCAAACTGTGTCTGTTTTGACCTGCGTATCATCCTCTACCTCTGCTCATTTGCTGCTGAAACCATCACTCCTTCTCTTGTTGCCTCCTGTCTTGATTTATTCCACTGCTTTTCTGACTGGCCTTCCACATTTTACCCTTGATAAACATATAGCAGTTGAAGAAACTGCCCATGTTCAAACTGACTGGGAGACATTTGTGGTAATGTCAATGGACTAGTCATCCAGATATTCAGGCTAATGGTCCAGCTCCAAAGGGTTCATATTCCACTATGGTAGCTAGTGGAATTTAAACTCAGTTAAAGCTCGTCTCAGTAATGGTAGCTATAAGGGATAATTGTCAAAAAACAAAACCTTTCTGGTTCACTAATGTCCTTTTAGGGAAGGAAACCTGCCATCCTTTCTTGATCTGCCCTACATGTAACTCCAGACCCACAGCAATGTGATGAATTCTTAACTACCCTGTGAAATGACCTAGCAAGTCACTGAATTGAAGGGCAGTTAGGGATGCGTAACAAATGCCAATGACACCCATAAAAGAAATTAGTCCTCCATACCCATCATTCCTGTGCTCAGTTAACTGCATTAGCTACTGGTTTATCAACACTTCAATTTTAAAATTCTCATACTTTTGTTTTCCAAATTTGCCAATTGCCTTTCCTTTCCCTATCCCTTCATACTCCTCCAAACCTGTAACTCCCAGCTCTCAACTCTTCCAAATCTGGTTTCTTGTGCATTCCTGATATTTAACCACTGCAGGGTTACCGCGCTTGCAGTTAGCTGTCAAGACCAGAATTCATTCCAGAATCCACCTTGTTTCTTTATTTCCATCTAGCACTTTGAGATGAACCTCTTTTGGTCATCTGTACTCATCTGCTTCTGTGACTCGATATCAGATTTTGCTTCGTAACATTCTTGTGAAATACCTTTTTAAAGTTTTGATTGTTTAGGTAGGGCTTAGCCTACGAAATGCTCTTCACTTTACTCACATTGTGGGATTTTTCTCTAACTTGCATTATAATTGATGTCCTGAGGAGCCAAACTTGCATTATAATTGATGTCCTGAGGAGCCAACGCAGCTTATAAATAGATTCTGAGGAATGTGGGGTGAGTAACTTGCCTCTCAACTCCCCCAAATCCTGCCCACCATTTAAGACAAAGCAGCCTTGCTTGGTATTCCATCCATCACCTGAAATATTGAGCCCCTCCACTACCAACGAAAAGTCATGATGTGGAGGTGCCGGTGTTGGACTGGGGTGAAAAAGGTCAGAATTCACATGGATTTCACAAGTTTTAAAATCTCCCCTCCTCCTAACACATCCCAAAACCAGTCCAGCTCGTCCCTGCCTTCCTAACCTGTTCTTCCTCCCACCTATCCCCACCTCACACCTCAAGCCGCACCTCCATCTCCTACTGACCAACCTCATCCCGCCCCCTTGACCTGTCCGTCCTCCCTGGACTGACCTATCCCCTTCCTAACTCCCTACCTACACTCACCTTTACTGGCTCCATCCCCGCCTCTTCGACCTGTTTGTTTCCTCTCCACCTATCCTCTCCTCTATCCCTCTTCTATCCGCCTCCCACTCTCTCCCTATTTATTTCGGAACGCCCTTCCCCTCCCCCTTTTCTGATGAAGGGTCTAGGCCCGAAACGTCAGCCTCTCTGCTCCTATGATGCTGCTTGGCCTGCTGTGTTCATCCAGCCCTGCACCTTGTTGTCTAGAATTCACATGACACAAGGTTACAGTCCAACAGGTTTATTTGAAAACACAAGCTTTCAAGCCTCACTCCTCCTTCGGGTGTAAGTGAGAGAGGTAGTATCAGACACAGAATTTATAAGTAAAAGATCAAAGGTTCATTGATGAGGATGTACTAAACAGACCTAAGATGCTGTTAAATCTTTAACCAGTTAGAAGATTTTAATTGATTAATATGTATATGTAAATCCCTGAATTCCTTTGAAGCCACTGTCCTGAGAAAACTAAAGGTTATATCAGTGTAAAGAAGAGGTGATATTTTAAGTCAGACAATGCTTGTTTAGGTGTGAGGCCTTGTTTAGAAGCTGTTTGTGTTTTGGTTTGGAGTCAGAGTGGTTTTATTTCTAAAGTGGGAATTTATAAAATGCCATGCTGTCTGTCTGTCTGTGTGTGGTGTGGTGGAGTCCCCTGTAGTGCGACATGAACCCAAGATCCCGTTTGAGGCCGTCCTCATGGGTACTGAACTTGGCTATCAGCCTCTGCTCAGTTGTTGTGTATCCTGAAGTCTGCCTTGGAGGATATTTACCCAAAGATCCGAGGCCGAATTTCCTTGACCACTGAGGTGTTCCCCCACTGGGAGGGAACATCCCTGTCTGGGGATTGTTGTGCGTTGTCCATTCATCCGTTGTCATAGTGTCTGCATGGTTTTGCCAATGTACCATGCCTCAGGGCACCCTTGCCTGCAGCGTGTGAGATAGACAACGTTGGCCAAGTCATGGGTGGTGTTCCCACGTGTGATGGTATTATTCGTGTCTTGCAGAGGTTACCGTGACAGGGTTGTATAGTGTTGTGATCGACGTTATCCTGAAGGCTGGGTGGTTTGCTTAAGGTTTGGCAGTTGTTTGAAGGTGAGAAGTGGCGGCATGGGAAAGATCTTGGCAAGGTGACTTGAAAGGAATTTGGGGATTTACATGTGCATATTAATCAATTAAAACCTTCTAACTGATTAAAGATTTAACAGTATCTTAGATTTGTTTCATACATCCTCATCAATGGTGTGAATCTTCGATCTTTTACTTATAAATTCTGTGTGTGATACTACCGCTCTCTCTAACACCTGAAGGAGGAGTGAGGCTCTGAAAACTTGTGTTTTCAAATAAACCGGTTGAACTGTAACCTGATGTTGTGTGATTTCTGACCTTGACCAATGAAAAGTGGTAGCAGTGTGTAGCATTTGCAAGATGCACTACAGCAACTTATCAAGTTTCCTTTTGACAAATCCACAACCTCTGCCACTTAGAAAAACAAGGACAGCTGATACAAGGGAATGCTGCCATTGCAAACTTCTTTCCAAGCTACCCTGGCTTGGAATTGTATTGTGCCCCTTCATTGCCACTGGGTCAAAATCCTGGAACTGCTTCCTAACAGTATTGCAGATGCGCCTGAACCAGTTCAAGAAGGTGACTCATCCTCCTCACCACCACCCTCTTTAAGATAATTAGAGAAACAAGTGATGCCCACAGCCCCTGGATTAGTTAATTATGTGCTTCGTGCAATAGGCAGGCTATAGAAAACAAGGATCACGTTATTTGGCTCTTGTATACAATTTGACACTATACTGATACTTTGTAATGTTGATGGTAGACAAATTTAAAATGTTTAACGCTGTCCTGTCCTCTTGCCAATTGATATGAACTCATATTTTGGGCTAATGTTGAACTGTCAGGCGATACGTATTTAGTTTGATCTTGCTGAGTTAATACAGCTCGCCCTCATTTAGCACTCCTAATGTTGCTAACAAAAGGCTTGTTAAAGGAAAATGTGGTAATGAAAATTGCTTTCCCAAAAGACTTTCTGGATAACTTAGGCCCTGATGACATAAAGATTTTAAATTCGATTCCTGTTGGTACCTTGAGCCAAACTGGCCCAAAAAAATCTTCTAACTTATGAGCGCGTTACTTTATTTCCACTTGGTTCCCATTTGCCACCTCCCTCCAGTGATCCTCTTGCTCATAACGTGGATTCTGAAGAAGGAAGAGGCGAGCGGGAAAATTGGGTTAAGGGAGCGAGAAGGTGCAAATGGAAGGGTGTGTGAGGAATGTGGTGTGGAGGAGGGTTGAGGAAAGGTAGTGACAAATGGGTGGGAGTGAGAGGCTGGGGGAAAGCAGTGAGCCAACCTGCAGCTGGTTTCTTCAAAAAAAGGCATGCTTGGTAACTGCAGCAGTATTCAGGTACTTCACTAATTTGCAAACTCTCTTAAAACAAAGCACATGTTAAGTTCCTTCTATCTCTGAGACATGTTTAGAAGATTATTTAAACCAGAATACCTGTACTGATGTTAGAATGATACTAATTCATGCGCACTTGCCCTGACAACAAATTTGCTATGGTGTCCATTAATAATATTGGTCTTGACGGTTTCATTTACCTATTCAGTTTGAAGTATTTCACTGGATTTGTGAAACTGATATAAAATATTTTCATTTCAGGAGAATAATTGAATAAAATAAGATCTGGCATTTAGACAAAGATTACAGATAATATGGATCCAGTTAAGACTCGATTGATTTGAGTAGAAATGAAATTTGCCATACATCGGCATTCTTGGTGACCATTCCCTGTAATGAGGTACTAATTTGCATATGGTTGGGTTATTGTTAAAGAACTGAGTCTTGTCTAATTATATATTAATATTGATCAATGTTCTTGTAACATGAGTATAGGTTTAGAAGCTTTAAAAAAAATCTTTCAATAGATCCAAATATAACCACATTATATATTAATTTCCATCACTTTGTATTTAGCTGGAGGCATAAAGCAGCAGTCATCCATCGTTCTGTCATTTAATAGTGTCTCCTCTTCTTTCTAGCACACTCTCTCCATTGCCTCCTCCCCTTCTGAGTAATATCACTTTTGAATCTTTTTACTGATTTATTTGTTGATCAACATTGAATGTCTGGATCACAAAGTGTGATTTTTAAATAAAATCCTAGTTAAAGGTTTGAATTTGGACAGTAAAGTCATCAAAATTTACAATTTTGAAAGTAATTTTTAAGTTTGCTTCTTTACGCCAGCTGATGTGACTTCTGGTCTATTTAAATTAGATTCATAAACTTTGCATGATACTGCTTTAAGATACAATTGCCTTCATCTTTTCAGAGCCCAATTTTAACACTGCCTCAAATTTAAATGTTACTATGGTTACTGCTTACGTAAATATTTTCGTACCGCTCGTGTGAAAATATACATAAGCAACATTAAATAGGAAAATACTTCAGGCTGATGTTTGCTTCTCTTTTTGCCAATCTTCCAGATGGCCCAGTATTTAATTGGATGTGTTGAACATAACTAATAATTTTGAATTGAGTACTTTGTTTCTGAGCAGATCTACCAGACTAAGAAAGAGGAAGGAAGCTGTGGAGAAGCTGAACATAGCCATAGAAAGACATGAGTTCAGTACAATATTTGCTCTACCGCAAAATTAGAAAGTGTGCACTAACACCATAATAATCTGTTAATACGCAGAAAAGATCGATGCTTTCATCCACTGTCATGAATGTAACTATTTGATTCAAGTGAATTATTTGACTTTGTTTTTGCCTTGGGTGTTGCAGTACCTTTACTTACGGTTATAAAAACCACATTTTTGTTAGTCATTTTCAGCATTTCCTGTTCTAACAACAAGGAAGCGCAAGCCCAACATTGAAACATTTGATGTCGTACGAAATGTCTTTAAATGACAGGTTAAAAATGGAGTATAGTAACAAGATGTTTCACCATATGTATAGTTAGAATCCTATAGGTTGTGGCTTTCAGTGTGTGTAATGGGATCTTCCAGAATAAAACAGAAACCTGGAATGTGTTAAATCAAACTTGCCGATCTGTTCGTGACAAGAAATGATTTTTGAAGACACCAGTTGAATTGTAAAGAAGAACTTTATTAAATAATTCTCCATATTTTTACATTAGTACCTCCTAAACCTGCCTATCTTCAAGCCTTGTGTCAAGAAGCACCATTTCAGCTGATTCCTCCAGCTCCATCAAGGCCTTTGCCAGCTGACCCTAAGCTAACCAAGAGCACCTGTTCAGAGGCTGAGAGCAAAGAAACACCGGTGTTGTCTTGTGTCTCCTCCCTTATTGAGAAATTTGAAAGCGTCAGGTAAGTCATTCTGTCTGCCTATTTAAAAATGCAATCTTGCCGAGTTTTAAAAATGTTGTTGAGTCCTCCATAGATAATGTTTCTGAGCTTGTACATTTTTCTGTCACTTTCTTGCAGCAAGTGAGAGTGGCACGTAGCTCTCAACACTAATGCTGAGTTCTTTAAGCTCTCAGCGAAATACCTAAGTTACGTCTTTTAATATAATGACTTTTAGATTACAAATCATTTAAGAGAATTTTCTGAAGATTGAAAATAGCAACCTTGGTAAACTTGTTGCCTGTTTTAATAAAAAAGGGCAATCTTCAAGTAATTTCCTAAAATATTGACTTCAGGTTTATAAAACGTTATTTTTCTTTACGTTCACAAACCAAGTTGTACTGTCTATTGTGCACAGAAAGCATTTATCCTTCAACTGAATCAGAGATAGTGGGAACTGCAGATGCTGGAGAATCCGAGACAACAAGGTGCAGAGCTGGATGAACACAGCAGGCCAAGAAAATGATGAAGGGTCTAGGCCCGAAACGTCAGCCTTTCTGCTCCTATGATGCTGCTTGGCCTGCTGTGTTCATCCAGCTCTACACCTTGTTGTCCTTCAACTGAATCAGCTTTCAGCTACACACAAGGCTAAATTTGAGTTTTTCTCTTGCCAGTACAGCTGTATAACTAAGGGTTCTTGAAATGGTTCTTCCAGATAACATCTTTGGGCCTCAAGTATTAATGTTATTTCCTTCTATCAATGTACTCGTTGTATATTATTAAACATTTGCATTTTTAAAGGCGTAACCAATGCAGGAAACAGAACACTGATTTGATACCTAATTTTTGATTGTCTCATGCCCTAATATAACTGGATCAATCAGAATTTGTCAGTTGGTTAAAATGGCTGTGTCCAATCTCTGGTTCCTGAGATGATGTGTAGAAATTGGATTAAACTGCCCAGGGTTTTATCTACTCTTTAAATCCAAGGATAATACTGAAATTAATAATGTCCTCAGAAGCTTGGTGTTAGCCAGATGTACCAATAATGTTAAACATTATTGCTTAATTTCGAGAAAAGATATTGTTTTTTCTACATATCTTTTACCTCTTGTAAATCATGGATGCAGATTTATTTGATGTATATATTGTTTACAAATTCAAAAATAATAGTTTTTAAAATTTTAACGGGAATATAAACTGATATAGACATGAAGGGCTGAATTGGCCTCCTGTAGTATAAGCCTTTTTGTTTCTAAAATGTATTTCTATAACCAGAAAATTTTCCCCTAGTTGCTGTCTGGTCCACTGAGTATTTCCACCATTTTCTATTCATATTTCACATCTTCAGTATGTAATATTTTTGCCTTTGTGTTCAGTTTAATGGTATTTGTTCAAGTTAATTGTATCTATGTGAAATGTCAATGTGTTACTGCAGGCAGCTAAGTCCAGAATTCACCAAAAGAAATCAGCTGATTTTATCCTTGAAAATGGAGCGGTCTCAGGATTCCTCTGAGTGTGCAGCATCTGACAGTGAATTAGAACCTGCAGGAGATTCAGCTGAGGGTTCAACAGAAAAAACTGAATCTAATGAAACAGAAATTGGTGTGGAAGTGACGGAACACTCCAATGAGGGCAATGTTACAATGACAGACAGTAATGTAAAAGACAATGACTGTACAAGCATAGCCAGGACTCCAGAGGCAAGAGCTGCAGCTGAAGTTGGTGAGTCTACTCTGGAGCACAATGCGAATGGCAAAATACCCAACAGAGACAGTGGCATTGACAGTCCTTCATGTAGTGGGGAAGGTGAAGTTTTCCCTAATGAAGAAAGCACAGAGGAAACGAAGAATGTCAGTTCTATGGAAAATGGAAATGATTTGGAGATCAAGCCTGGTGATGTTTCTGAATTACAACAAAAGAGAGATTCCACTCAGGAAGATGATGATAGTGATATGGATGAAGGCAGCAGTGAAGAAAATGAACTAGCAGAAGTGCCTAAGATTGAACAGTCAGAAACAATCAAGGTAAGCTGTTACTTTCAGAGATTTTAATCAAACATGTGCACCAAAAGCACTAATTGGTAGAAGGGGAGGCGATGGCTGAGTGGTACTATCACCGGACTGTTAATCCAGAGATCCAGGTAGTGTTCTGGGGACATGAGTTCGAATCCCGTCATGGCAGATGGTGGAATTTGTATTCAATAAAAATCTGGAATAAGAGTCTAATAATGACCGTGAAATCATTGTTGACTGTTGGGGGAGAAACCCATCTGGTTCACTAATGGCTTTTAGGGAAGGAAACTGCCATCCTTACCTGCGCTGGCCTATATGTGACTTCACACCCACAGCAATGTGGTTGACTCTTAACTGCCTTCTGGGATGGGCAATAAATGCTGGCCTAGCCAGCAATGCCCTCATCCTATGAATTTCACAGGCAATGCAGTTTGTGGTGTAACATTTCAATTTTTTTCTTTTATGAACTTGTCTGCAATCACAATTAACCCATGCAAGAAGCACTATTTGAAGTCAATAGATTGTTAAAAGTTTTCCTGCAGTGATCAAAGAGAAAATAATGAAGCAAATTTTCTGGAATTGGTTACTCCGTATGCCTGCAATAGTTTGCTTTCTGCATACAAATATAATTTTTACCTTGAAAATAATGAATAACAGAATAAATGTAGCTGCCTCATTAAGTTTTTCCCTCCATCCTCTTCCTCAACTTCTTAATTCTTGTATTTCTCTTCTGGATTTTGAGACACAAGTTTTGCAGAGGCTAGTCACTCTGGGACACACCACAAATGATCCTAATACTGGGATCTTCCTAATATGACGTGCACCATCCAACAACACTCCCATTCACTTGCTTACTGAGATGCAACAGAGGTGTAAACATGACCAACTTATAAATGCATAACAGCTGAAGGTCTAAATGAAATTTAATGGTGCATGAATGGATATGACTAATATTGAGTGAAAAATATAACTTCATCCAGGATCAAGAAATAGTGATCAGGACTGTACTGCTCGCAAACAAAGCTTTTCATTGTTCTTGGATGCATGTGACAATAAATCAAATCAAGGACAAGGAGCAGAAAAATAGTAGAAATCAATGAAGAGACCAAACATAACAAGAACAAAGGATGTATAATAAACCTGGAATTTTGTCATGTGTATTTGCAGTGTATTATCCTCTGCGTGTAAGGATCAAAAATTGGTAAATAAATGCATATGTCCACTGCAGTTTTTTTTTAAGATATTAGCCAAACCTGTGGATATCATGGGTGTTTTGTAATGTTTCTACATTCACAGTGGAGAAGTGGGAGAGAATACTACATGCACACAAATGTATAAACATCAATGAAGGGGAGACGCTTAGATATGCATGTTTGATTGATTTATTGTCACATGTACCAAAGTACAGTGAAAACCTTTGTTTGTGAGTAGTACAGGTGGATCATAGTAAGCAAGAATGTACAGGTCAAAAAGACTTGGACAGAGGCATACAGGTTACATTGCACAAGGCGTGTGCTAGGCGAGATCAATGTTAGCGAGATCAGCATTATTTGAGGCTGGAGAGTGCATTCATCAGTTTAATAACAGCCTGGAAGAAGTTGTTCCTGAGCTGCTTGCGTGTCTGTTCAGGCTTCTGTATCTTCTGCTTGATGGAAGAGATTGTAGAAGATCATCACCAGGTTTGGATGGGTCTTTGATGCTTGCAGCCTTTCTGCGGCAGTAAGCCATGTAAATGGAGTCCATGGATGGAAGATTCACTTCTGTGATGGTCTGGGCTGTGCACACCACCTTCTGTAGTTCCTTACAGTCCTGGGCAGACCAGTTGTCATACCAGGCCATTATGTACCCGGACAGTATGCTTTCACTGGTGCATCTGTAGAAGTTGGTGAGGGACTATGTGGACATGCCAGATTTCCCGAGCCGCCTGAGGAAGAAGAGGCGTTGTTATGCCGCCTTGACTGTCACTCCGGGGTTGGGGGGTATGTCCGGGGCAGGTTGTCAGTTATCGTCACTCTGAGGAGCTTGACACACTTCACCCTCTCAACCTCAGTTTCATTGATATAGATGGAGGTGTGTTCTCCTCCTTTCTTTCTGCAGTCAATGATCAGATCTTTAGTTTTGTCAAGGTTGTTTTCATTGCACCACATCACCAAGCCCTGTACCTTCCTTCTGTATTTTGACTGGTCATTGTTAGATACCTGTCCCACTACGGTAGTGTCATCAGCGAACTTATAGATGACATTCGTTTGGAATTTGGCCACACAGTTGTGGGCATACAGGGAGTACAGTAGGGGGCTGAGGACACATCTTTGGGGTCTCCAGTGTTGTGTGTAGTTAGGAAATAAATTGTTGTGACTAACATAATGGAATTCAAGTTCGATAGATCTCCAGGGCTAGTTGGGTTTCTACTTAAGAATATTGAAGTGAATGGAAAAGAAAATTTGAAATGTATCAGTTAGAAACTTCTACAGCTCACCAGATTAGGGATATGTTCACAGATTGCCAGTCTTCTATTGACAATACATTTTTGAATAACTATGTACAATCAGCTGCAGGTTTACAATAAATAGTGGGAAAAATATATTGGAATCTGTTATCACAGAACTGGAGTTGTCTATTTGCCCCTTAAAGCCAGTCATACCATTGATGAAGATTATGGCTGATTGACCTCAAGTCCACTGGCCCACACTATCCCAGATCCTTAATTCCCTCATTACTATTGTCTTGAATATACTTAACAACTGAGCATCTGTAGCTTTTTAGGGGAGTTGTCTCAGAGATGTAAAATTCTTTAAGTGAAGACATTTCTTCACATCTCAGTCATTAATGGCTGACCACTTATTCTGAGACCTTGATTCTTTGTTTTACATTCTGAGTTGGGAAACATTTTCTTAGCAAGTGTTAGTAGTTTCTTAGCACAAGTTTCAATGAGATCACTTATCATCCATCTAAATTCAAGAGAATATACATCTAGGCTACTCAATCTCTCCCCATACAACAGTTTCTTAATTGCAGGAGGGATCTGGTGAGCCTTCATCGCACTCCTCCTTGGATGACTATGACCTTCCATAGGTAGGGAGACCAAAACTGGAAACTGAACTGAATTTTTCGAGAACTACAAGAGTTAGAGATAGGAGAGGGGGATTTGAAAACATTGTTAGGGTAGGTACAGGGTTTGCCTGTGGCGGAAACATGGAGGTCCTGTTGCTAAGAAGCTAATTGTCACTTAAGCAGCCTATCAAGGGCCTCTACATATGACATCTGGCATTTTATCTGCATTGATTGAGCCCTAGGCAATGTGGGATGTCTCTCTGCAGGATGGAGGAAGTAGGACCTCCTATTCATCCTCATTGTGCACTCTGTGGCCCAGGAGCAGCGATACTTTCCTTCCCAGATGTAACCTTTCTACCCTCATTCTTATTTCACACCCGCCCCCACCCCTATTCCTGTGCCTACCAATTTGCTCCACTGAACCACAGCCCCATTTCTCTTTGCTTTAAGGGCAGCACCCATTGCTGCTGGGAAAAGTTGGCATCTCTTAGAAGGGGTTGCTCATATTCTTAGAGATATGAAACCTGAAAACAGCCCAATAGCTGCAACATGGGTATAAAATCCAGCCACTCTCAAATAGCTAAGAAAGATACCTCTAAATGGCCTGTTAACGCAACAAAATCCAGCCCAGAAAGTGAGAAAAGCAAAATACTGCAGATGCTGGGAATCTGAAAGAAAATAAAACACTGAAAATACTCAGCAAGACAGGCAGTGAATGGGTGAAAGAAATAAAGCTAATGCTTCAGGTCACTGATCTTTCATCAGGACTGACTAAAGAACCCACATTTTTAAAATTCATTCATCAAGGTGTGGGTGTTTCTGGCTTGCCAGCATTTATTGCGTATCCCTGGTTACCCTGAGAAGGTGGTAGTGAGCTGTCTTCTTGAAGCAGTACGGTCCACTGCTGTAGGTTGACCCACAATGCTCTTAGGGAGGGAAATTCAGGATTAAGACCCAACAACACTGAAGGAACAGTGACTGGCTTGGAGGGCAACTTGCAGGTGGTGGTGTTCCCATGTATTTGCTGCGCTTGTCTTTCTGGATGAAAGTGGTCATGTAATTAGAAGGTGGTGTTTAAGGAACTGTGGTGAATTTCTGCAGTGCACCTTGTATATGGTACATCCTGCTGCTGTGTCAGTGGGGGAGAGTGTGGATGTGGCCCTGATCAAGCCAGCTGCTTTGTCCTGGATGGTGTCAAGCTGCTTAAGTGTTGTTGGAGCTGCACTGATCCAGGCAAGTGGGGAGTATTCCATCACACTCCTGACTTGTGCTTTTACATGGTGGACAGGCTTTGACAAGTGAGGAAATGAGTTACTCGCTGCAGGACACCTAGAATCTGACCTGCTCTTGTAGCCACTGTATTCATATAGCTTGATCAGTTCAGTTTCTGATCAATGATAACAATCAGGATGTTGATAGTTGGACAGTCAGTGATGGTAATACCATTGAATGTCGAGCGCTGATGGTTAGTTTCTTTCTTGTTGGAGATTGTGATTGCTTATCATTTGTGTGGCACCATTGTTTCTTTTCACTTGTCAGTCCAAGCCTGGATATTGTCCATGTCATATTGCACTTGAACATGGACAGTATCTGAGGAATTGCGAATGATGCTGATCGTTAGGCAATCATTGGCAAACATCCCCACTTCTACCCTTATGATGGAGGGAATGTCATTGATGAAGCTGTTGAAGATGGTTGGACCTAGGTCACTACCCTGAGGAATTCCTGCAGAGATGACCTGGAGCTGAGATGACTGACCTCCAACAACTACAACCGCCTTCTGTTGCAGGTATGACTCCAACAGCAGAATGGGAATCAGGTGGAAAACATTTACTTCTGTTTTGCTAAGGTTCCTTGAAGCTATACTGTCAAATGTGGCTTTGATGTCAAGGGCAGTCACTCTTACCTCACCCCTGCAATCCAGCTCTTTCATCCACATTTGATCTGAGACTGTCGCAGAA